ATAAGAGAAATTAGAGGCTGAAGTGAAGGCAATACGAGGAAGTAAGAAAGTAAGTGGAGAAACGAAGAACAGATAAATAGAAGGAGTAAAGAAAATAGGAGAGAAGACAGAAGGAAGAAAATAGAGAGTAGAGGGAGGGAGATGATAGAAGAAGAAAGAACAGGGAGGATCAGATTTTTAAATTTTTGGCACGTGTCGTTATAAGACCAGTCTACGGTAGATCTCCCAGAGCGCCTCCGGCGCTCTGGGTCGATCGCCCTTTCTACAACTTCGATGCGTCCCATTGCTCCCGGCCCATCCTACAGCTACGATGTCTCTGCGCTTCATCCCCGAAATTATCAGGCATATCAACAATTTTTATGGTGGGGATCACCCAGAGAGAGAGGAACTCCTTATAAAGGACATCCTTTTAAGAGCTTGTAAATATTTTTTAAGTTTTAAGTCGTCTCAAGAGACTTACTTGCGAAATGTTTTACAAGTTCTGACCTGTACAGAATGAGAGAAAAGAGTACACGAATCATGCAGGATACCTTAACAATTTTTATAGTGGGGATCATCCCTGAGAGAGGGAACTCTCTTAGAGACCTGTTCATAATGATAGAAGGTACACAAATCAAAAGTCAATACCATTTTACTATTTGTTTATTTACAATAGAGTACAAGTTTAGATTTTAAGTAAACAGAATGCCGCCATATTGAAACAGGACTCACAATTACTACTTCATAAAGTTCTACCGGAATAATAAAGAAATTAGTAAATAGACAATTTTTCTAGGTGATTGAAAATGAAAATAAATATACAAGGTGTTACACAAGGTAAATTTAAAGAAATGCAAACAAACAACTCTCAGCACTACAAACGCCGCTCGTTTCACTCGACGATCAGAGGAAACTGTATACAAGTGTTCCAAACAGAAAATTCTAAATGCAAACGGGGAAAATACTAGAAACGAAGCAGCTAAAAGTAATTTTTAGGACACAAAGGAAAACATATATACAGGAATTGAACACAGAAAGAAAATTCCAGAAGAGTTCAAGCAGCGAACCTCCAAACTCACAACTAAATAGATTTGTACGTGTTAGGAAAACTAATATACAGGGTTTTACAAAAAGAAAATTTTACGAAACTACAAAGAAGTCAATATTCACAATACGGACAGGAAAATTTTACAAGAGTAACAATACTTTTGGCCCTTAAGAAATCAGAGATTTTACCCGAAAAACATCGACATGGAGCAAAAGGGTGCTACAAAAATAAAACATTTACATTTTAATATGTTTGACTATAGTTAATATATTTGGCAACTGATGGTAACATCAACTGTATAAGGTGGCAGGCGAGGTGAAGCACCATCCGGCGGAAAACAAATCAACAGACGGCAAGCGACGGCGCATACTTAACACAGTGGTTAAAAGGTGGTAAAGCAACAATTTCTTTGTAAATATTAAGATATACTGAGACTGCAAAAACGAAAAGAAGCCCGTTCAAGATTTTATTTCAACAAAATTATTAATTTAATGGAGTTTGGAATTCGATTCGAAAAATTTTTATGTTTTGCGTGATCATCGAAATCACTTGATAGGCAAACGGCCGACGGCAAAGTAAAAAGCGTGGTCAATCATGAATTTTAAAAACGTGGCATATGATTAAATCAAGCATATCAATTTTGGATTAACTGCCTTAACTTTCCGCAGAAAAATTTTAATTATCCACCCACCTGTGCATTGTTGATGAGGATATTTTCTATCCTGTAATATATTCTGTCAAACTGAAAACTCGCGCACGGATTAACGGACACTTATTTCTTACTTAAAGACTCTAACCGCCATAAATCGTTAAACAAAACAGGCACACATACCCATTTAGAATATTATTGCCGATTGCTTGAGAATACACGACGATTAATCCTCAATTAAAACTATCTAAAGGCATTGAATTTAAGGGGCTGCGCCACAGGACCGGCGGTGAGCATTTGCGTGTGATTGGGACGCAAGGCGGGTACTTTTAAACGGTGTCGCGTTGGTAAGACGAAGGTGACGCGCGACGGTGAGGCGCGGCTGGTTTGGGGAAGACAAAAACTAAGGAGATTTTGTGTTGAATACACATCCACGAAATTTTGCTTTAGCCACTTTTCAATATTTCTCGGCTTTATACTGAATAAATTGATTTTGAATGTAATAAGTCTGAGTCTTCGTAAAAGTTTACTGTATACAGGTACTTTAGTTAATTAGGGGTGTTTTTGTAAAAGGTTACTCACACTTTATATGTGTGTAGGACAGTAAAATACCACTTATTTCCATTTCAGTGCTACAGTGATACATTTATAACACTACATATCGTAAAATTGAAATAAATAATTATATATGTTATTACATTAATTTAATAAAAACAAATGTGAAACTTTATATATTTATGTTTTATGTATTATATTTTATGTATAATTGTGTCGATTGTGTCAACCTACCGAAGCTTAGTTAACACACCTTTTGTTTATAAAGCGTACTTTACACTTAAGAAAACACGTTAATATGTCAGTAAACTTGCAAAATAAAAATAAATAAGTACCTCTTCCTTTACCGCAAATTACCATTTTCAATCAAATCCTTCTGGAAGAAGCATGCAGTTCACAGCTGGTCCAAGATATCCGTAAGGTTTCGTTAAAATGTTAAACCTACAAAAATAATTTATAAGATAAGATAATAAAATTTGGAAAATAAGAAGGAAAATAATTAATAACAAAAAATATTGCTGCATCATGCTGTATGAGTAATTTCAGTAACGAATATAATCTAAACTAAAAGCGCTAGCAGCTAAAGGATTAAACATTATGAAAATTTGGAAAATTCTTTATAAGATATGACAATAAAATAATTAAAATTTATGGTATAAAGGTTCAGAAATCTTAATCAAATAAATAATTTAATGAGTACACAAAACAAAACCACTAGGGATTCTTAGCAGACGGAAGATATCCGCCGGCCGACGGGAAATACCTGCGTAATTTGCAATTCCGAGTTCTACGCGCGATATCTCAATAACTATACGCCGTACTTGTCTGGTAATTCTAAATCTTAACTTTGCTGACCGATTCTAATTCAACAATCGACTTAAAATCACAAGAAATGCGATAAGTCATTACGAAAACCGTCGCGCAAATAAGAAATAGAAGAACAGTACGACAGAACGACAGTAAGAAATAGAACAAAAACTGCTGATTTTATATTGTGGACGTTGCCTCTTATTCGTATAAACAACATACGAAGATAGCGATAGAAGCAACACCCTTTTAGGGCACCGTATGAGGATAGCGGTAGAAGTGACTTTATTCAGGGCACCGTACGAGAGTAGCGCTAAAAGTGACATTATTCAGGGCACCGTACGAGGGTAGCGGTAGAAGTGACTTTATTCAGGGCACCGTACGAGGGTAGCGGTAAAAGTGACTATATTCAGGGTACCTGAATAACGATTTTAGAGCACTTCTAGCGGGATTTTGGTGGACTGCAAGGCCCCATCTAAGAAAATGACTCTCGAAGTATCTCAATTTGAAAAAATCATTGAAATTGCGCAAACGGTGCGCGAGATACAGCCGAATTTCCACCGGGTGTTTCAAAAATTCACACAAGGCGTAAAAGTTTGAGAGCGATTTTAAGGCGCTTCTAGCATGATTTTGGAGGGCTGCAAGGTCGTATCGTATAAAATGCATTTCGCGCTATGCAAATTTGAAAGAATCATTAAAATCACAAGAACGGGCAAGCAATTCAAAAGGTATAATTGCAATTGAAAAATCAAGACATGACGCTGCACTCCCATTTAGCATTTTTTAGTTACGTATTATTTATTCCATCAATTATTTTCTCGATTTGAATACTATATCTTATAGAATCTATCTCTTTTAGTTTGCGAGACAATCGCAAAACAAACCGATTGAATCGTTTGCTATGGCTGCTGCGTCCGACTGAGAATCGCAGTAACAGGAAACGATTGTCCATCGCAATTGCACATAGTTAAAAAATAAAACAATTGAATATAGGTGCAAGTTAAATTTAATAATGTAATTTTTTGAAGAAAACAAATACATACATCCCACAAGCACGCAATAAAAAGTTTGAACATTTTGTGACCACGTTTTTTGAATCTATAAGGCCAATGAGTACTTTGCAAAATACAAACGCGACTGGTATAAATGATTTCAAAATGTATTAATTTCAAACTGCTTGACATGTAAATTAAATGTTTATCTTTCCTTGCATGACCCATGCAAAATTCCAGTTGAATCAATTAAATAATTATTATATATCATATTATTACATACATAAATTTATCAATAATCCATTTTTTTTAAGAGAACATTTTATATTCATTCTACCGTATTAAAATTACGACGTTCAAAAGACTCGAAAGCAAGCAGCGACGGCATGCAGAATTATGTGCATCACACTTGTACAAAGTCAGAAAAAGTTGTTTATAAGATATCCACAGCGATAAGCCCGTAGAGGAACATTTGCAATGTTTCGCGAGGTTTGAACGAGAATTCAAGGAGTATATTTTAACGATCACAATGATTTACTTAGTAATCAACCATAGTACCACGCTTTGCATGTTATGAAACTAAACAATACTAAACCACTTTGCTTTATCACATCTTATTGCAAAAGAAAACGCTGGCACTTACCCCTGTATACATCACTGATGCCCGTTCACGTTTACAAAACATTCCACGCGAGATATCACTACAATCACTAAACGCCAGCGATGTCCGCAACGTATCGAATTGAAATGTCAGCCTATGAAGAACGCGTGAAGGATACGGGCGGACAACCGACGACAACGACCGACAAGGACCAACTGAACTAGTATTCGACTAGAGTCACACTCACGTGATTTGCAAGGAGTGGGACTCTATTGGGGGAGCTGCACGCGCCTGCGGCATGTGCTTATCTCGCGCGGCGATATGCCTTCATGAACGCGCACCCCACACTGGTATTTTTGATGTTACAGTACAACAACAACAAATTATTTTAGAGGAAACAAAATAAATACTCATTTAATAATATTAGATTATAAACTAGAACTTAATGCAACTTACTGATATAAAAACACAATCATGGTAAATTAGGAAGACGTCGCACAAGTAACGATTGCAAAACTCTTCTTCCAGGCAATAATATTGCATCTTTTATGTTTTAGATTTGTCAATGTAAAAACTCAACATTTCAAGTTTTTACTTATATTCACCGTGTGATTTTACATCTAAACGAGAGTCAAGTTGAAAACAACAAGGACAAGTTGATAAAAGATAATCCGGTTTATGAATCTCGCATGCAGCTCATCCGGGCACAATCCCAAAATGCAAATTCGGTGAAATAAGTGCATCGCAGCGCCATCTCTGTGTTATTTAAAATGTCCAAAGGTAATCAGCTTGTTTGTATACGAGTAGTTGGCTAGTCAAAGAGAAACTTAAATTAATCTGTACGAGTGCTAATAATTCATGAGTCAAATATACCAATCGAATACATTTTGTACGAAAACGTTCGTTTTTTTTTTTTATTTGTTTCTTTCCCAAAAACATTACTGCAGTATTATCAATTTATCGTTTCAAATACGACGCCCTAGTTCGGGCCAATTTAAAGTACGCGAGTACTCAATTGAAACTAATAAATTATACAAATATAAAAGTAAGTTTAGTTTATCAATAATATTGTAAATCAAAACGTTTGGGTGCTTCGGCACTTCGGCGTCGCTCTGGTGTCTAGCTGTAGAGATCGTCTTCAGGATCTTCCTGGAAGTTGCCCTGGTCACCACCGGTGCCCGCGCCCGGCTGAGACGCATTACCCGTTTGATTCGGAAAACGGAAGTTCGTGCCAAAGCCACGCGATTGCTGCAGTGTTTGCGCGAACATCTCGTACTTGCGGATGTCATTATCCGATACTGAACGCCGCGCGAATCTCATCGCTTCCTCGAAGTGTGCGCGTGTGATCTCTGGCACCGGATCATCGTCGTCCAGCTGAAAGAAGGGCGACAAATAATATCCAAGTAAACGCCTAAAAGTACCGTAATGGAGTTAAACTTACTTCCATAGCGTGATTCGGATTAGCAGCGCGTTCGCGCTCTCTACGGATCTCGTTCTCGATCGACTGCCTGATGGCGAGTTTACAGGCGCGCTGACAGATCTCTGTGATGTCCGCACCAGAGAATCCGTGCGTCACCTTCGCGATGTAAGTCATTTCGACGTCAGGCGCTACAGGTGACTTGCGCAAGTTAGCCTTGAAGATGGCTTCGCGCGACTTCTCGTCTGGCAGAGGAATGTAGATCAGCTGGTCGAGACGACCCGGACGCAAAATTGCCGGATCAATGATATCTAGTGCGCAAAAATTAGTAACCGACATGCAACAAAATATTAATGGTAAACAAACCTGGTCTGTTAGTAGCCCCAATGATAAAAACGTTCTTCTTAGCGCCCATACCGTCCATCTCCGTAAGAATCTGATTGATGACTCGATCAGCAGCACCTCCAGCATCGCCAACATTTCCACCACGAGATTTAGCAATAGAATCCAATTCGTCAAAGAACAACACACAAGGACTTGCAGATCTAGCCTATAATACCCCACGTTTTAATAAAATAAATAAATAAATGCGTATATTTAACTCCTACCTTATCGAAAATATCCCTGACGTTAGCTTCAGACTCACCAAACCACATCGTCAACAATTCCGGGCCCTTCACCGAAATAAAGTTGGCCTGGCACTCGTTGGCGATCGCCTTAGCCAGCAGTGTCTTACCACATCCGGGCGGTCCATAGAAGAGCACACCGCGCGATGGCTGCATGCCAAACTTGAGGAACTTGTCCGGATGCTCCACTGGATACTGCACCAATTCCTGCAGTTCACGCTTGACACCTTCCAGTCCACCAACGTCTTGCCACGTAACGTTCGGCACCTCAACGACAGTCTCACGCAGGGCGCTCGGACTGCTCTTAGACATAGCGTACCGGAAGTTCTCCATGGTAACTGCCAGTGAAGATAACACCTCGGCGTCAATCTGATCGTCCTCCAAATCGATCAAGTCCATCTTTTCACGGATTTGCTGGAGTGCAGCCTCCGAGCACAAAGATGCCAAATCAGCACCAACGTGACCATGAGTCTCAGCAGCGATCTGTTCAAGATCGACATCATCATGTAACTTCATATTCTTGGTATGAATGCGCAAAACCTCCAAACGACCAGTTGCGTCGGGGATGCCGATGTCAATTTCCCTGTCAAAACGTCCGAAGCGACGCAGAGCCGGATCGATTGAGTTGGGGCGATTCGTCGCCGCCATAACAATGACATGCGAGCTCTTCTTCATGCCGTCCATAAGCGTCAGCAACTGCGAGACAATACGACGTTCAACCTCGCCATGAGTCTTCTCACGTTTAGGTGCAATAGCATCTAACTCATCGATAAAGATGATAGCCGGGCTGTTCTTGTCCGCCTCTTCGAACGCCTTGCGCAAGTTGCTCTCAGACTCACCAGCCAATTTACTCATAATCTCTGGGCCGTTGATCAAGAAGAAGAAAGCGCCGGTTTCGTTAGCGACGGCACGCGCAATTAGAGTTTTACCGGTACCAGGTGGGCCGTAAAGCAAAATACCACGCGGCGGCTTCACACCGATCGCCTTAAAGAGCGACGGATGACGGAGTGGAAGCTCTACCATCTCCTTAATCTGGGCGAGCTGTTTGCGGCAGCCACCAATGTCGTCGTAGCCGACGGCATTCAGCGAGTCCTCCTCTTCCTCGCGCTTAATCGGGTCGCCATCACAATGAATCACAGTGTCCGGAGCCACGATGCAGAACGTCTCGGGATCGGTTCCGACCACTTTAAATTCGACGGCACGCATACCACCTCTTATCATGAAGACGTCGTCGGTGTGAATCGGCCGGTAGGCCTCCAGGAAATACGGTTTGATGTAAACTTCAAACAAATTTCTACCAAGGAAGGAAATAATTACAATTTGATAAATTACAGGATTTTAGTTGTTATATTTACCCAGTAAGTCCTTCAACGGTATCATCAATAGGCAATACGTGAATGCGCTTGCCGTATTTGATGCCGGGGCACGGCTGAATCGAGACGACGTCCGAAAGACGAACACGTAGATTATTGCGCACGATACGATTCATGCGAATCTTCTCGTCGGGGCAGGAATCGTCAGCCAGAACGATGGCGACGGTCTCCTTGCGCCGCTTGCCCTTGAGCAATACGGTGTCGCCACGGAAGAGCTGCAGCTCGTCCATCTTCGCCTGCGAGAGCGCGACCACGGAATTGTCATCGTTGACGGCCTCCTCGACGAGAAGACGGTTTGGGCGATCCTTCTTGCGCAAGATCGCGGTTGCCAAATCATCAGGACTGCAAATTAACACACACAGTTAGCATACAAGTAAAATGCTTGCTGTGAAAGCCTGTGTCACAAGTTTCCTTTGTTTGAATGTTTACGATATGCGGTTTTTTCGAAATGTGATTCCCCTCAATATAAATAATACTACAATCAATTACGAAAATTTTCCGCTTATACGGCAGTTGCAATGAGCTTCTCCTTAAATTACAAAAACCATAGAAGAATGTACATAACAAATGTTTTTTTTACTCATTCGTAGGGGATGTATGTATGTGTGGGTGCTTTATTATATCCAAAACTGATGAAAAGAGATTCTTAAATGTTGCAGTTATTCAACCGCCAGAAATAATTCGGCAAATGCGCCGAGTCCACCATGATGACAAGTGAAATCGGTTCGACGGTTCGTGTGCACGGCATCGCATACGCAAATGTCGTAACTAGCGAAGCCGGAACCGGCTAACGTCGCACGAACAACGAAAATCAAACGAGCGCCATTGTATGCGATCGACTTACCTCTTATCGGTCATCTTGGCGCTTCGCTGCTGCGCTCGAAACGGGAAAAGTTCGTGGAAAGCGGGCAAATGAAGAGTAAAACGTTTTTCACCGGTCGTCCGCACGAAACAGAACCAGCTCGGTCTCAGGTGACGATCGTTAGCTAGCGACTACACGAACTGCACGCACAGGATGACGGGCCGAACGAGTATGTGCTGAATGACGTTGCCGAATCAGCGTTTTTGACAGCCGCTTATATGACATCCGTCGGGCGCTTCCGTACCACACGACAATACACGAATAGTTAAACGTCTGGGGCGTTCTTTGTTACTCTCCAACATATCACGATGATCTTGCCTTTGTCATTATTAGAATTGCAATGTCAGAATCATTTTCTTACACTGTTTCATCAGCTCACTGCGAATTACTACAGCGTCCTCCTCGAAAACAACGGATGTTTCTAGAAAACCGACGTGTTCGAATCAGAATGCACCACACGCAACCCATTTACCACGAAAACAATTAATATATTGCCATAGTAATTTTAAACAAATTTATTGGTTTTGAATAAAACTATGTAACACTTACAACATATTAATCACGTTTCTAATCATACATTAAACACAAAATAAATATCTTAAAACTTTGATTTTTGTACGTCCGCATCTTCTTTTCGATGCATTTTTGAATGTCTTACAAGATGCGCCTTCTGCGAGAATCGCTTCTGACAAAATTCACACAAAAATGCTTTCTCACCCGTATGCACCAGCATGTGCTGATCCAGCTGCCCTTTCGTACTAAACGCTTTTCCGCATTGATCGCAGTAGTAATTCTTCTCGCCGGTATGAATTTTAACGTGTGTATTGAGATTACTTGAACTTGCAAACCTCTTCGGACAGTACACACATGCGTAAGGTCTCTCGCCAGTATGTATCGCAATCGTATGCTTTGTCAACTGTTGGGCAGTTGCAAAAGCCTTCGGACAAGCAGAACACACGTGATTTTTCTCACCCGTATGCGTCCGCATGTGCGTATGCAAATGTCCACCGTTGATAAATCGCTTATCGCACAAATGACACACGTAAGGTCGTTCTCCGGTGTGGATTCGTATGTGTCGCACCAGACACGGCTTCGAAAAGAAGACTTTATTGCACATGTCACATCTGTGATCCTTACTCTGCGCATTTTGAACTTTGTTCTTTTTAGCGGCGCATTTTGTATTGTTTTGCTTATTATTTTCTTCAGGTCTTGCAGTTACATTATTAAATTCTATATAACTTGTTGGCACTGGTGAATTATCAACCAATTGTTGTAATTGTAATGATTCTGCTGAGTTTAGTATTAGTTGATCATCAGAATTAAATGTTAACTCTTTGTTTTGCATTTGAACTGTGGAAACTTCAAGTAATTCATATTTTATTGCTGCGTTTTCTAAACCGTCGCTGTATAGTATTACGTTATCGTTCTTTTCGTTTTCCTCTGGATGTTGTTGAAGTGTTGCAATGTGGACATCGGGATTTTTCGCGGCCTGAATGCGCTGCATGTTTTCCAATGCTTGGCGCAATCTGGCGTCTGCCATTTCACATTGAGTTTTGATTTGGAAGGCTATATTTAATTTGGATATGCATTTTGTGCATATATTTCCAGGCAAATTGTCATCCTGGGATATCTGAAATTAAATGTTATTTAAAACTAACTTGGTGCAACAAATACAAAAATTACATAAACTATAGTTATGAAAATAAACAACACTTCAATTTAAGTTCAGAAACATTGTGGATGTGATATTGAAATATTTATCACTTAAAAGAAGTATAATAATAAGAAGCCAACAAGATATGTGAAAATCTGATTACTACGTTGTCTCGTATTAATGTGTGTTTTAAAAATTTCGGTTGTATTTGATTTGTGTTCACCTGTACTGAAGCACATGCCATGATAAGTATGGAGAAACTCGGCGGTTTGCTTGCGTCGAAGATTGGCACGAGTTTGGAAGCCTTCTCCAGACATATTCGACATATTGAGTCTGCGTTCGTCGTCAGGTAATAGCTGAGGTAGTCACTTGTTGTTTGTGCATTGCTTTTCGAATCACCAGACATATTTTTGTTTACAGAAAACAAGAGCCACTGGCGAATGTCGAAACGCAGATATTGAAGGCACGCACATGCGCAGTAATGCAATAATAAATCGCGTCGAATAAACAAAGAGTCCATATTGTAGATAATAAACTTCTGTATAAATGTACTAATATATTGTATAAGTTTGTAAGTAATAAAAGTAATGCATATTGTTGCAAACTCTTGAAGAATGTGCAAAAAAGCAAAGTGTAAACTTAGTTGCCTACTTCTGAAGTTAATCAATTGTGAAAACCAAACATTTACTTCAAGAAATCATGTGTACTGAAATAATTTATTTATTTGTAGTTTACTTTCCAAAATATTCTATTACTATCAAGAAACTTCTCATTTAAAAACTTGTCCAAATGCAAAATGTCTATGTATTATTACAATTTTAACATGTTAAAAAACAACTTATTAAATGTCCTTATCCATTTTGAGAAAAATGCACTATAAAGTGCAAAACTTCTTAATTTATAATAAACATAGTTGCAATGTAGAAGAGGTATGTGTTATTTCTTTCCAGATTTCTTGATTCCCCCACTGACCAAGGGTCCTTTTTGGCCAGCTTTGTTCTTAGCATCAGCAAGTGCCTTCTGTGCTTCTTTTTGCTTCTGCTTGAAAGCTAAATCTTCTTCGTCCAAATCTTTGTCGGCCTTCTTCGGCGCCTTCAGAGGCTTCTTCTTTCCACCTTCACGTCCAGACATTCTGTCACTGAATTTAACGGTGAAATTTAATGTATTATTAACACAAATCGTTTAATAACCTCAAAGGTAAACAATTAAAAATGAATATTTTAAGAGGTTGTACTAAATTATAACTAGTAACTCTGAAATATATACCTTAAAATTTACGTAGAAGAATATAAATGTACAAGTAACTGTGTTCCGCCTCGAATTTGGCCCCAAAGAGAATGTCAAGAGCACAGAACGTGAAAACCGATCCGCGACCAACGTGCTCCTGACATGCGATTCGAAGCGCGATCTATGGAAACAAAAAGTACTTAAAAAGTATGCAACCCAACTACATCGTTAGTTTTCAATGCAATAATTACTACAATTTAAATTAAATTTATCTCATTGAGTATCACAAAGAAAATGTGCAAAATTCACCTATTTCAGATTTATTAATTATTTAAAAACTTAGTATTATTTAACAATCGTACTGTGTACTCGCAAATTCGCGTGAGACGCATTTTCCTGGCGCAACTGTAAACCAAAATAAAATCTAATATCATCGAGTGTTTAAGGCAAGTGTTTTTTGTTCATCAGGTAACTTATTAACTCATTCAGTCAGTTTCAGTTCAGAATCATCCGCTAAATATTGTTCATCGCCTAATCTAGTCGCGGCACTCTGCATAGGTTTGCGACACACGAAAAACACGCTTTCATATTCATACTGCAACATAGCTTTCGGATTTTGACAATATCTAGTCTTCAACGCAATCTCCTTTTTTTCCATAATAAAACCAACGTTTCTAATAACACTGCAGAGAATTTCAAAGCTAGGCTCGATGCTCTTCTCGTTCTTCATATCAGCGTAATGATATAGCAACGGGCCGAGATTCACCCACACACCACCCGGCTTCAGAATATGATAAATCGTTTCAATAAACTGCACCACATTAGCGGCACAATCAATGAAAAAACATGTGGCGATACAATGCCACTCATCTAGATCAGTGTATACCTCGAGAAAATCTCCGGCAACCATTGAAAATTTGTTATCAAGATCTAATTTTGGCAAAACATCGGGAAAACGTACGCTAATAGTCTGATTCTCCGCGGAAAGATTGTTGCAATACTGATGTATCCACGGATAAATTTCAAACTCTTCCTCCTTTTTACAATGGTTTAAAACATAAAAAGAAACAATCAGCATGAACAGATTGAATTCGTTTCCTTGGCAACTGAATTCACGCGAAGCAATCTCAAAAGCTAGCCGGCCGAGACCTGCGCCAGGCACTAAAACGTTTATATCTGGACGGTGAACAACATCAGCCGGGAATTCCTCCTCTAAAACTCTAATTATTGGGTCGTAACATTGTCCGCGTTCTTCAGCGCCCATCTTGCTCCAGTCCCTCATTAAATGCTTGAAAACTGACTGGACTTTATCCAAGCCCTCAGAGAGACTGCCCACATTTGTTTCGGAGTGCGTTGTCGTGTCGTTGATGTAAATATTTCCGAATATATTCTTTGCATATATATATATAATGTTGATGGCCTAAGTATGGAGCAGAGCTCACTAAGCGCCTCCAACGGACTTCTGTTTCGGGCAACCGCCTTTGCTTCGTTCCAGCCCATATTTTGGTTTCGGAGCTCTATTGTGGATCTTCGCCAGGTATTGGCCGGTCTACCAACCCTTCTCTTCCCCTGTGGGTTCCATTCTAGCGCATTTCTGGCGATATCTCCGGCGTCTCCTCTCAAGATGTGCCCAATCCACCCCATTTTCTCTTGCGTATTTGATTTATAATGGGAGTTTTATCACATCGACGGTGCAACTCATCGTTGGAGATTGTCATTGGCCAGAATATGCGCAAGATCATTCTCAAGCACTTGTTTATGAAGGTTTGAGTTTGTGTGTGCTTGAGCTCGTTGACCTCCATGTTTCGCATCCATATAAAAAGGGTGGATTTTACATTTGTGCGGAATATGCGCAGTTTTGTTCTTAGTGTATAGACGCTTGACTTCCATACTGTGCCTCAGCATTCTGAAGGATTGCTGCTTTTATTCTGTTGTTTATATCTGCGTCGGTCCCCTTTTATGTCAATTATACTTCCTAGATATGCATATTATTATATTATGCATATTCTTTGCATGATCCACAATAATTGGAACTAAAGTTGAGTTGGCCTCCACCGCGTGTTTGAAGCTATCCAAATCACGTTTGTACTTTTCCAGCCATTCTTTATGGTGTTGGGGCAAAGTGGCGAGACATTCTTCACGGTGTTCGATGCGTAGAAGCGATTGACTCCTTGTAAATCGGCAGAAAAACGCGTATTGTTAAAAAGTTAGGTTAAGATTTCGAATCGGTTGAAGATGTTTTACCTGTAGCTTTGGAAGGTTTGCAGTACCTGTAGGAAGTACTCGCGCTCTTCGGTGGCGCCTTTGATTTGTTTATGCATTATTCTTGGCAATCGCGCTCTATCACTGAGATTAACTTTATCACATAATGTTGTGACTATCGGCTGCGGGTTGTTAACTTTGTGCCGGGCAAAAAAACAAACTTTCTGTACGTGTACAATTGGTTGCCAAGCAATAACTTATTAAAATTAATTTAATAAGCGACTTTGTCAACAAATATTAATAAAACAACTAAGAAATTAGTATACTTTATATATAGTTAAAATTATTTTTTAGTATTACTACATCATTTTAATTGGATGAATTAAAAATAAATTATATGCTCTGACGTCCCATACTTGACGCAACCAAAAATACACCAAAGTAAAACCGTGAAAACCTTCACTTTTTGACGTCAAAACGCAGTAAATTGTTCATATAATCAATAAATAATACATACATCTATTGATAAAAGCGTATTATTACATTATTTACTGAAATTTTATAAATTTTACGTGGATTATTCAAATTCAGCGCATATTCTGTTCACCTGACAGCGACTAGCGCAACCAGATGTTTTTTCTCAGCGGGGTGCAGCGGGGACCGCACGAAACACACTCACACAACCACAACCAAACTGGCAGGCCCCCTTCGAACAGCTGACTAGTAGCTCGCTCGCCAGTGTTCTGTCAACACGCGCATAAACATAAACACTCAGATACGCCGTCGCGAGTAGTGCCAAAGTGCCAGCCTGCCAGTCTGCCATTATCACAAAACGCTGGTGTGGCAATCGCAGCGAACATTCCCGGTAGCCATTCGAACAATCTTGAAGAAAACGCGAGGACTTCAGCCGCACGAAAAAGCCTCTGTCCATCGGCGGCCATCCCAGAAGGAAGCAAGCGGATAATGTCGAATCGCAAGCTGAGACACTATCTGTCGGGTGCGATCATATAGCACACGGCGAGCGGACGTGAGGACAAGCAATCAAGAAGGTGAGTTTCATCATAACACTTACGAAAACAGCGTGAAAATCGTGTGGCAAAGTCAGCGGAAAATCAAAGAAGTTGGCGTGTTACAAAATGGTCGTCGCCGTGCGCTCACACGGCGATTGGGCGATGATCGTCTTTGTTCCCGGTGGATACGTTGATATCATTTTATTTTCTCAAAACCACAACTGTCTGTGCAAGTAAAATGATTGAAAATAAATTAAACAACATAATTTTTTCTATCGAAACATGACCTCTCTTTAAACCTTTGTTTCAACTTCAACTATTCAAGTCAATTGAGTTTAATTGAGCGTAGGACGAGTTCACATTAAGTCATTTATTAAATCATTCACATTCAAATCATGCAAATTGTACGTTCTCAACTTATGATTTTTTTTTTGCGTGCATGTGACTTAAGTGCGGTGAATTCGCTGTCAAATGTCATCGTATCGTTCACAGCTGGTCGTGCGCTGCCATTTTGTCTACAGGTCCACCAGTCCACCACATTGGCTTTGTAAAGTTATAAATAAATGCTCCTCACATTCTCTGTTGCAATCTGTCCGTGCGTCATCCGCATGCCGCCTCCGCGGTGGTGGCGGTGTGGGTTTAATGCACCGCGAATTAACATTGATTCCGGGGTGTATTTTTAACCATCGCTGCGGTATCAACCTTTCAAGGAACACCGAACACGAATTTAATAACGCTAATTATAAGATGTGCTAATTAGCCGAGCTATCGGCGCGTTTGTATTTTAACCCGACGATGATTTAACTTTCGATTGTTCCAACGTCTGAGTCAGACATCCGAATACAATCAAATAATATTTAGACGAAATAATGAGCCGCAACAAATAACTTTTAATTAGCTGAATTAATTTTTAATTGAATAATGTCTTCGTGTAGCTAGGTCAAGCGAAATATATTGAAATATTCAACGAGTTGTTTTATTGAGCAGAATTTTCCTTTTTCCCCATATAGAAAACATCGTTTTTATTAACCTTTCAAAGAAAATGTTTAAAAATATGACGTCATGGATGACGTACGTACATGATGTCGAATGTAACGGAAATAAGCATTATGGAAGAATTGGCAGTCGGTATGGGCCGCCACGTCAAACGCGCCGTTGGGTCGATAAAGCAAAACTTGTTTTCCAAAGTCAAACAAAATGAATACCGATGGT